TTGGTGATCCTGGACGAAATTCATTACATGATTAGCTATCTCGATCGGTAAAGAACCACTACGTTGAAACCATTTCTGAAGAAATTATTCGTTTGGGCGACGGAACGCCAAAGGTGCGTAATAGGGTCCATAGCCGTGTGTCTGATGAACGATATTTCTCCATTGGAAACAAATTTGGGAGAGAAGTAAAAATGTGGTAGTCTTTCGTAGAGGATCTGACTCGGGGGGAGCAGAATCCGTGTCAAGCTTAGCAGACTAGCTGAAAATGGGAAGAGTAGACGCGAAGTAAAAGTCAAGAAGCAAAGAATCCATATTCAAAGTTCAAACTCCGGACTACAAGACGCCGAGCAGCCGACGGCTTGAATCGGGTTTTTACTTTACAGAGACTGACCGAGACTTGTATCACTACTTGATGCATGCATCTGGACACCAACTGGCAACATTCACGTCTAGCATATGAATAACCCGAGACTACCGATTGCTACGTTTAATTAGTCGTTCGCTGCACTCTCAGTGCAACTTAGAAACCCCAAGCTGTCAGATGCCACCATTACTGTCATCCATAACGAGTATCAATATCAATATCAATCGTTCATTGATCCTACTATCTGTCAGCTTTTCTCCAATTGATAACTCCCAGAAATAGTTCTTGAAGCTTGGAGTGCTGTAACCTGTAGTGCAGGCGGGCTCCGACGAATGCCATTCCTGTCAATCGTTCGTTGATCCTACTATCTGTCAGCTTTTCTCCTTTAGCAACTTCCGGAAATAGCTCTTGAAGCTTGGAGTGCTGTTAGTGCACGCAAGCTCACCTGACCAAAAAAAAGCGTATTTTGCGACAGGACACGTTTTGCCCTTGCCTGCGGCGTACTTGGAGCCACTGGGTTTAGCTACCGGCTGAGGCGCAGCTTATATCAAGCAAGTTCCGCTCGGAGCTCCATTCGAGCGTCTCTACTGTCTAGCTATATACATACATAACAATTACAATGATGTTGTGATATTGTGGTACTAGCTGGCTGTTAGCATGCACGTTCGACCTAACAAAATCCCTTATTCGATGTTTTTATTTAGAAAATGACTCTTATCTCCTCCAAAAATTCTCTAGTCTAATCTATCCTATTCAGTGGCATATCTATGTACAGAATTTGTTATAATTGTACAACAACAAAGAAAGGGTTATCATAAGTGCCGGCTCCGCCAGACACAACAGTCGGTATCGCAAAAAGAGTCAGCTGTTAGTATGTAGCTAAGTCAAGGAGCTTGAACCATGATCAAGCTGTAAATCTCTATACAGATACATCGGTAAGTAAGTATGGGTAAGCCGTCAGTTAAAAGTTGGTTGAACAAGAGACGGTAAGCAAAAAAAAAGTCATCAAGTACTACAAGCCGAAAGGAGCGTAAAAAAAGTAATAGGTCATCAAAAATCGTGCTTGGCAACGCAGACTCACGGAATGCTCGCCCAGAAGAACCCGATAAAGACAAAAAGAAACATTAAAGTAAAGGACCAGAATGAGCGAAGCAAAGCATAAGGGAAAAAAGCATATCACGACATCGAATCCCTCGAGTTCTTCCTCCCCAACCCGACAGCCTCATATACCACCTCTCTCGCACTCCCTATAGAACTAGACCGTTCTCTAACACCTTTAACACCCTCCTTAGCTTTCCTCCCATAATCCTTCGCACGCTTTGTACCCTCCTTCAAAGATTCACGTACACCATCTCGAACTTCGGCTCGAAAAGCACGGAATCGAGTGCGGTACTGAGCGTATCGGTTATAATAGTTCGAATAATGAGCATAAGGACGATGAAGGAGTCGAGAAGCGAGCGCGACGACTGGGACGGGGACTCGGACTCGGACTGGTAGAGGGAAAGGAAAGATGGGGAGAGGGACGTGGGTAGGAGCGTTTGTGATGAGCTTGGCGGGGGCAGGTATTGATTTAGGCTTGGAAGATGAAGGAACGGGTGATGAAGAAGGCTCGGAATAAATCTGCAGCTTGATTGTCGTCGCTTGAACAGAAGTCGCAGCTTCCTTTGTCTGTTTGGCTCTCCTAATGAAGCCCTTGATGCATCCGTAGAACCAACTTGCGTGAAGAGGGAATACGGCAGTCAGAATCAGGGCTGGAGCGAGCGATCCGATGGTTTGGGAACCGGGAGATAAAGGTCTGTTCATCGGCATGTAATACGACAGGGTCAAGACGACGTGTAACAGAATACGCGTGGCGAAAAAGGATACGGCGAAGAAGAGGTTTGAACGAGTTTGAGGAACAAGGATGGAGAGACCAAGAACAAAAGTGGGAAACTAGTGCATATTATATTATAGTCAGTGACGAACAAGAGGTCAACAAACCAACTCACCTCCATACATGCACACAAACTGAACACGCTAGCCCATCCCTGACGAATCGCGTATTCGACAATACCAATGTAGAGGATGTGGTGGACCCAGCCTGTGAGCAGGTTGATCTGTGAGCGGTAGTTGAAAGCACCGATAGTCAGGTCCCTGGAGAAATTAGAATCAGTACCAGAGCAACCTGTGAGATAAACAGGACTCACGATACCAAGTACGCCTGGAAAAACCTATTCGCTGCCACTGCCAACGTCGGTGCTGTACGCACATCCCGCACACTTCCTCCCGACTCAAAGTAATCGTACAAGAATGGTATGGATTGCAGAGTCATAATTAAACTCGCGATAGACGTAATAATCCATGACAATTTCTTCTCGGTCTTCTTCCTATCTTCGCCCTTGGAGAGAAAGGGGGAAAGGATGTGGAAAGAGGTCGTTAGGAGGATGAAGGAGAGATAGAAGATGAATGATTGTGAAAAATCATCTGGAGAGGCAGAGGAAGGAAGGGAGAACGGGAGATGCGCGGGGATGGACTTGGACAATGATAGGGACACCATGATGAATAAAAACTGGCGACGAAGGCTGGTTGGATTCAAGTCTGGAACTAATAACCTGAAAGCCTTCACAGCCTCTACTGTGGCTGTTTGCTGGAGGAGGACCAAGGGAACCTAAAGAAAAGAAAAAAGGGCTGGTAGCATAGTTTAAGGGGATTCGGCTAATGCACGTTTATCGTTTATCTAATTCAAAGATATACCCCTCGGAGCTAGTTGATCGTTTGACACGTTGCTGCTCAACGGTTCCAAAAGGTATACAAGGCCCTAGGTAATCAAACGGTCCGACAACCGAGGGAGGCCTTCATATCAACCTCGAACGTGCGACGCAAAAACTTTAGCATCCCTTGAAACCCATAGGACTCCCAGAGGAGTTGGACAGCGGGACAACGAATCGGTTGGAACATAGCCGCCTCAGTTGGATTTTGACTCTAGTAGACAGTCACTGTAGGAGGGCACCAAAAGACTCTGACTCAGAGATAGACACTTAAATTAATCAACAAAGGATTGACATGAATCCCTTTCTGGCAGTTGTGGCATACATAGTGACAAACGGACGAACGTGGCCGATAATGATAACAAGTGAAAGGGGCTTCTTCAACTAGCTATAGAGAATCTTGTCCATCAACTTCTTCAAAGACTATAACCAGAGAGGTTCGCTCCAAACTTGATGCACGGTGTTTCAATAACGAGCTGAATATCATTGGCCTTTAGAGAGATTGTGGAGCTTGACAAACGCGTAACAGCCCTGAGATTGCTTTTCTTGAGGTGTTTTTACGTGTCTGTTATTTCGCTTGGGAAAACTGAAGCAAGAAGTGTCATTTGAGAAACATCAGAAAAACGTCGGTTGCATTAATATTGTCCTTCGACATCAGTAGCAGGTAGTTTCGAACTCTTTCTGAAGCTTCGAGGAAGAAGGCTTTTTGATAAGACACGTTTATCGGATAACAGAATATGTTGGAGCTTGAGGACCACCAGAAGAAGGCCGGGGGTTGTCGGAGCCGCGGCATTTCTTGACGCGTTCTCAGGTTTTGGGAGTACATATGTTACAGGACTCGTTGACGCGTATAACATGACTCTGCTGGTACGACGAACGCAAGACAACGATCCGCAAATGAGTCCGTATATAAGGAAAGCAAGTATGCGGTGTGTCGTGCACGGCAGGTAGTAGTAAGGAGAGAAGAAGAAAGCTCGGTAAATCCCGAGCTATACTTGCCATGAATGGATGGACCGTCACCAATTTGGAAGACACCTGACTCGGCTCCTTTGCGGCTCACAAAAGTTTTGGGGGGTACTAGTAATAGGTGTCAGAAAATTGCTACAGCCAAGCAGCCAGAGAGGTCGATCATCTCTCGCTCAATACGTAGTCATGTACCTTCAAGTGAACGCCTTGCGATATATAAGTCTTTGTATATAAGCTCACTTCACCCTCCAAATTCTACTAATACCAATGAGTCTCACTTTACTCAGTACAACGCCGCACCATACAGACATTCTAGCACTTGGTAATAGATATACATATATATCAGATCTAGGATATATGGAAAGCACAAAAAAAGCCCGAGGCTTATCTTGAAGATAAGCTTCTGTGCTTTAAAAAAATAGACATGTCCTGTCAAATAAGTAATATTCGATGGGTAGGTCAATGATTCTCTTCCATCGAAAGAAACTTAAACCGGATATCTTTTCTTTCAAATGAAAAATTTTGGTGCCCGTTTGAAAAACCGTTCTATCAAATATTCAAGTTCATTCAGTCGAAGAAACCTTATATGCTCATGAGCACTTTTGAGTGAATATATTTCCTGTGTCATATCACACCCAATCAAAGATTTCTGTGATAAAACCGGGCTAGTTTCGGGTTCAAAAATGGTGAAGTGTAATTTGGTGAAAACCAGGTACTAAGCTTACGGGGAAACCTTGAGCACTCGGTGGGCCCAAGAGCATCAGTAGAGGTTGAGAACGGCTGCCAATGTACACTAGCATGTGGCAAAAGGGTGCTATTAATCAAAATGTAAGGGCAGACAGATGTGTGGGAAAGCGGTCACAATATTATTGTGACCCGCTGCCATGAAGGGTAACTTGAAGATGGATAATTTTGCTAAATATGGGCACATGGTGTAGTTGGTTATCACATCCGCTTAGCAAATCAGCTTCTGCGGGGGGTGCTGGGTTCAATTCCCAGTGTGTCCAACCTTTTTCATGGTTCCGAGTATGTAGATTTTTCTCTCTCAAGTACACTCTGAACTTGCCAGAAACATGCCATTTACTCAAGATATATTAAGTTTTCCCTCCGCATTGCTACTTTCTACTTTATCGATCCTTTCCCGATTAAAACTTTGAACGTAGTCGGTCAGCGGTTGAATTCCCAGGAAATCCTTTTAGAGAAGACTCTGAGTAGTATACTGGTCCTCTGCTGAGAGGCGCCGGTGCAGCAAATGGATTGGTCGGATAAGCATTCCCGTGATAGTGCTGGGTGTATGCAGGTGCCCGAACATTAGGGGGCCCGGGGAGAGGAGGAGCGGATTGGGGAACTGGAGGAATGGCGAAAGCGGGAGTACCAGATGCGGCTGGAACAAGGAAGGTCCTCGAGGGATTCCTGGAATAAAGATCAGTTGTAAAAATTCGTTAGGGTTTTGGAAAAGCTCACTTTTCAGGACAAGATTTGGACTGTGATTGGTTCATAATCAAATCCAAGAGCGACACTGAGGACAAAGTTATCTGAGTGGTTGAGTTGGGAAGAACTGGACCCAATCGTGAAGACTGGGTTTTATACCATTTCGTTGTCGGTGGCATGCCAAAGCGATGAGCATAATAGGTCTGGGATATGGTTGCACCGGTCAAGGTCAATGTAGAGGTCAATGCACACTTTGTTATAATTCTCTTGGCATTTCAGTGGGCATAGCATACCAATGCCCTCGGATATCAATTTAATAGTCTGATAGTAAAAGGATTAATGAATGAAGGCTCTCGCTTCAAAGAGATCTCGAACAGCCGGGTGCAATACGAAACCAGACTTTCAGTGTACTAATCACGGAAAGGATGACCGGAGGTTGTAATAGGAAAAAGATTTGACAGCGGATTTTCTCTTTCTCCAGCACTATAATGGGGTCCTGATAATGTGCCAATGCTTCTGCGTCCGCCGAGGTACTTGGGTCGGTGCAGTGGTGGAAGTTTGGAACGGTCTAGAAACCTTGCCGTAACTTACGAAACACCGATCAAGATGGTCCGTGCACGACGGCTTGTGAGTATAAAAGGACCGCGGTCCTGTCATTACGCTCTTATCGAAAGTTCACCTCGCGGGTTGATATTTGGGTTTCCTCCGTCCCTTTTAACGGAGGAAACTTGAGCCTAGGAAGCGTAGGGAGAGGGAATCCTGCCATTCCGTCTACTAGACTTGTTTTGGTGTCGCTGTAGGCCCGTTTGGGAGGTACATCTGCTTCTACAATGAATGATTAATATCAATACCTTGATCTATATTTGTGGAGACCACAGTGTTCTAAGTTCAGCGCGACTATCAAGTTGTTCAAAGGTTACTTATGAAGATAGACTTAACTCTAAAAGGAACCATGTACATGCCACCTAAATCAGGATATCAAAGATGTGAAACACCCGTCATAATCAACATATCAGGGTGGTTTCCGCCTTTTCCCTGCGAGATATCTCGTATGACTTCTTTCTTTGAAAAGGGGACTACTGGTTTCCATTCCTGTGGTCTCCCAGAGGAAATTCGTCTCCATTAACATGGAGAGTGAAAGATGCTCGAGGGTTGGGTTCGCATCTACGAAGCATCTGATAATCAGCTGATATTGTGCCTCGAGGTTCCAGGGTAGGTCATCTTTGAAAGGGTGATTCACATGTATTTTGAGCAACTGAAGATTGGACCATGATTGTGCGGCACTGTGCTGGTCGTGGTATCATAGAATTTGGGGGATTGGTACCACGAGAGGCACTGCAAGAATTTCCAGGTGATTTATCCAAAGAAAAGCCGATTATCCACGTGAACGAGATCCCGAGTCGTACAAGAAAACTTGTAATACTCTCGGAGAAAGCAACCGTGCGGATTTGTATTCCAGGACGAGTGCTTGGAATTGTCGGGGACAGGGTTCGGGAAATCATTTAAGAAAGAGTGATTTCACGGAGACCGTTCACTAAGAGGACATTTATGATTTGAGAGGGACATCGCAGCAAACGAAGAACCGGTAGTTTAACGGGCTCTATCTAGTACATAGCCCCTGAGACTGTCGATAAAGAGCTCTTCGATACACGGAAGGGAACCTAGGCACCTTTTCAGATCCGAAATAACAAGGGAATCGCTGTAGTCAAATCCAACTCTAAAGTCTTCAAAGATGATAGTGATTCATTGGCGTCAATTATAGACGTGTGATAAAATTCCAACTGTTAGTCTGGACTTCTTCGAGACGAGCAACGGTAATGCCTGAATGCATATTCATCACATTCGTGCACTTGAAGAGAGCAAAAGACGCAAGAGGCACAATCTGGAGTGATTCAACAATTTCCTCGGTGATTTCATGGAAACGACACTGTTGAAATGCGAGTCGCTTCAAGCGTTGAAACTTAGTTAAAGCTGGCATTATTCGTGGCAGAATAGAGGTTGTATAGAACGTCAGGCACTGCAGATTCTCAAAACGCGACAATGCCGGTAAATAAAGATCAAGGGAGTCGTGGTATGCACGCTGAGCAATCAATTCTGTGTTTGGAGTTGAAGAGTACATTCTCGAAGAAAGCGGACAAGTGATAAGCACTGCAGATGGCTTGTGGTCATTGATGTATCTGCAGAATTTGGGGTATGTTGCACGATTGAGAGAATTGTTCCCCACCTGTCGCGAGCCATAACCGGAACATAGTAGGTTGATTCGTGTCGATACCTGAAATAATAGTTATTGTAATCATCTACACTCGAATAGAAATATGCATACCAGAGTTTAATTTAGACACGAACGCGCTAGAATTGCGTACATACTCTCGAGTGAGGGTAAATTGGACTTAACCTCGGATTATCTTCAATCATCGGCCGCGCTCAGCTAAGTTTAGACTCGGATTTTAGAGGTACTCACAACCCGTTACACGCGGTGAAGGAGAAAGCCAATAGCATCACGTGTACTTTGCTTGGCAAACAAGGCACAGCTCTCGGACTCTCACCATCAGCTCTCCTTATAATTCTCCGCCAAGACTGTCCTGTCTGCTCGACTGCCCGCAGACCAGCAGCTCCTGGGTTCTCCTGGTGGACGAGAATTACGACTTTTGACATGTCTCCTCAATTCACCACTCTCTTTCTGCTCACTGCGTCGTTCCTTACAATCATGGTCCTGGGCTTGGAAATTTTACATCCTTTTACAGCTTCCTTCCCCGCCAGACTCTCCCAGACTCTAGAATGGCAGACATATGTTCACTCTAGTGCTCTTGCATTCGGTGCCGTTCTCTTTGTACTTTACCAAGTCTTCATCACGCTGCTCTTTGCTCTGTTCACATTTTCTGTACGGTTACTCAAGAAGTGTGGGGTAGTCGTTGAGGTTAAGAGTTGCGAAGAAGACGATGAAGCTCTATCAATGGGCGGAAGTAGTGACCGTTGGCTCTCGATGAAATCTCCCCTGACAGCAATTCTTCTCGCCGTTCTCATTCTCAACGACGCTGTCTACAACCGCGCTGGAGGCTCCACCGTTGTTGAAGGATCACTAGAGCGCTTCCTTGCTGTACTATCCAAGGCTCTACCAATGTGTATCTTTGAAATACCTGCCTTGATAGCGCTCGTCTATCTGCTCGGGTACTTTAAGGACGAGAGGCCCAGGTCGACTTCCACCGTGGGTGATCTGGAGGCACAAGGTCCGAGTCAATTCTCTTCGGATGTGAAGATTCCTGTCTCCGGAGTTCTTCCAGGTACATTGCATCATTTTCCCGAGCGCTGCCAGTCGTCTGACCATCATTCATTTCAGAAAAGAATCCCTTGGTCCGAACAATCAGTTAATCAATAGTAGTGGATGATTCTGTGCCTCCCGTGAGTATTCCTATAATTCCGGTTCATGACTGTTCTGAGAACGAGTTGGCAGGGATTGGATGTTATAGTCATAAATTATTCTTTGGGTTTTCGGTGGTTTGTGTGTTGGACTGGATTTCGAATGTTTCTGGGTTTAGGATATGGGTTTATTGGTGTACTATAATTATGACTTTTTACTTTTATACGTGTATTGTGCTAATAGTATGTGCCTCTGTACATTGCATTCGTTCTTGACGATACTTAGTACCTACTGATAGAGTGCTAGTGGACATACCTTTCCAAATCCTTATAAGGAATGAAGAAGTCTGCCGTCTGTCAAACGTCTAGCCATCAGACTAAGATCTTCAGAGTTTTTGCTTCTTCGCTTCCGAGATGCACTTGATATTTCAGTACTCTTCAATTTCTTATTTGGGATTGCTAGCGTCGGGACTAGACTTTCAGAATCGTTACCTTCATCCCACTGTTGCAGGCTCATAACAGCGGTCAAGCGGAAGATCCTTTCGAACTGATTTACACATTCTAGACGTATATTATTCGTTTTTGGTCCTACAAGGGAGCGACCAGAGACGACCACAACCAACATGAAAATGCATTGAGAGTCAAACCAAAATAGTATCCAATTTTAATTTTACAGTGGACAAACATAATACCACTTGAAAGCAAAGCCATAATTTTGGAGATTGTATGAGATATCCTGTCTTGTCAAGTGCGATCAGCACGAATTGATATCTGAGCTGAGAATTGGTTTGGAATAAAATATAGACTACACGCCCGAAGCTTCTGGTGGCGTTCATTATACAAGAAGAGAGAACATAGAAAGTGAGATAGAGGAATAATGTAACAATAAACTACAGTAGTGTTCGATTTTACGTGTTTGCACCTCTGCGATCTGACCTCTGATTGTACTTACATCAAAGACAAACACAAAGTTCGGATGTACCCTACACCATCCGGTAATCTAATCCCTACAAACCATTCCTTCATCCTGTGCAGCCCCATAGTTGAGAATTCCTTCGCATTCACAAGCTTTTAATTAAGACGTTGTCGTTCAGCTCCTTTTCAATTTTCAATCACTTCTAAATCTTTACCCTCTTCCTTTCTATGATATCGCGCAAGCCTCAGCTCCTTCATACTTTTCACAGCAGCTCTCGAGTGGTTATTTAGACCGCCGTCAAAC